CCTGACCCCATGGACTACTTTCTGGGTAAATGACAAAACAGAGTCAGAAAAGGTGAAGAGTATAACTATATATTCATGAAAACTTTAACAATTGTCTGACTAAATACGTTTGATATAGAGGAAGTCTTCATAAAGACCATCAAAAGTCATTGTACTTTGCTTCTTTAAGAGTTGTTCCATTTGTTAGGCTATTTGGTTCAAAGTGCAACACAATATTGATTATTGAATTACCTTTGCTCTAGTTCGGTCTTTTATCAATCCCCTAAACATGTTTAATACTTAGCTAGCTTGATGACTGTGGCCCTTTTTGCTGTTCTAAAAATAACTGGATAGAAGGGCCATGGATCATGTGAAATTGTCTAGAAATGCAGGAAATTGGCTTTAGGTGGCAAAAAAATGTCTGGGGGAGGACCCCCCCCCACCCCACCTCTAAAACCATAGTTGCGCACATTGGCACTTTTAGTGAGTTCATAAATATTGGCTCAATAACCCAACGTTTGGTTATGAGACCATTATACAGGTTTTAAGTGGGAAACACATTCCATTATAACCTGTATCCGTGATCAGATTAGAACCACAAAACAATTTGACAAACTTGAAAATATTGACTTAAAAGTTCAAATAACCTTACCTGTGTCCTCTCTAAAACTCAAATCCCCAGTCTCTGAAAACCCTTTACCTTCTAACCTTCTTCTTCTGCAGACTTTCAATTGGCAATAGTCTAAGACACTAGGACATTTGTAGAATGCCAAGTGAGGACGAAGAATAGCAGCACCTTTCATTAAAAGTGGCTCTGCAAACTCAGTCTGTTACACTGAGTGGAAGGTACTTTATGTGTTGAACAAGGTATTGGGGGAGGAGCAAGAGTAGAACATGCCTGGAGGATTAGAATAAGAGGGATTTTAATAAATAGAATTGTTCCTTATTTTCATGCTGCTGAAATTAACCAATGGCGAATCATATGTTGTGTTAAAAAACACTGTAAATGCATCAGAATGAACACTGGTTTAGATCTTGATTATGTTTAATTGAGCATAAGCAAATCACTTTCACTTATAGTACCAGTCAAAAGTTTGGACACAACTACTCATTCCAGGATTTTTCTTTATTTTTACTATTTTCTACATTGTAGAATAATAGTGAAGAAATCATAACTATGAAATAACACATATGGAATCATGTAGTAACCAAAAAACTGTTAAACAAATCAAAATATATTTTATATTCTTCGAAGTAGCCACCCTTTGCCTTGATGACAGCTTTGCACACTCTTGGCATTCTCTCAACCAGCTTCATGAGGTAGTCACATGTAATGCATTTCAAATTAACAGGTGTGCCTTGTTAAAAGTTAATTTGTGGAATTTCTTTCCTTCTTAATGCGTTTGAGCCAATCAGTTGTGTTGTGACAAGGTAGGGTGGTATACAGAAGCTAGCCCTATTTGGTAAAAGACCAAGTCCATATTACGGCAAGAACAGCTCAAATAAGCAAAGAGAAACGACAGTCCATCATTACTTTAAGACATGAAGGTCAGTCAATCCGGAAAATGTTAAGAACTTTAAAAGTTTCTTCAAGTGCTACATGGAACTCTATTCCACATCAGGTAACTGAGGCAAGCAGTAGAATCCGATAAAAAAATAATAAAAAAAATACACCTTATGGAACAGCGGGGGCTGTGAAGAGACAAACACACACACACAGGCACACGCATACACATACAAACACACACATGGATTTTGTATTGTAGATATGTGGTAGTAGAGTAGTGGCCTGAGGGCACACACTTAATGTGTTGTGAAAAGTGTTATGAAATGTAATCTTTTTAATTGTGTATATAACTGCCTTAATGTTGATGGACCCCAGGAAGAGTAGCTGCTGCCTCGAATCTGTCTAACAGGAGCTTAAACTGGTAGGCCTACATAAGCACTTGGGCCCCAGGACCATACAACTACCCAATTTGCAATTACAACCAATAAACTGGTTCTACAAGTTAAAAGGCAATTTCCACATCCATTGTTACATTCGTCATAATCAGACTTTATGATTATTCATGATATTTCAATACCATGCATACATGGAACACTCATTTTACCTTCTGACTCCAAAACGTGGCGCGCAGGCCATGTAGCCTATTTCTATACGCACTGAGGCGCGCACTCTCCTATTACCAACAACCAGAAAGATAGAGGACACAGACACACCAAACTCAGACATAACCCAGGAAACCATACATTGAATTAAATAAACAGAACTTCTACCTCATGAGTCTTGTGAACGTTCAGGTGCACAATTAACATTGTGTGAAAGCAACAGCAAACATTTCAACCAGCAGAAAAAAAGTACTCTCCTCTGGCAGGAGTTGACTGCGCCTATGGTGCGTCTTCACCACAGTAATAATTCATTTGAAACAAATTCCAAAAGCAAACATAAGTAAATTATCATTTTCAAGCAATTGTTACATACCAAAAGACCAGTAGGCCTATGCTAGTAATTGTTGCCCCATTGCCGGTGAGCTTGTAAAGTAAAGAGTTAATATTACATTTTTGGAGCTGCATATTTATTTATGGCAATCCTCTCTTCCTACAATTTGACGTTTGCGCTGCACCTGATCCTATAGCTGTACAGCAAATCAGCAATCTGTTTGCTAGCTCACCCGACCTGAGTTGATTGACAGTTTGCTGGTCCAATCAGAGCGCTGTGAATGCGTTTCACTAGCCAATCTGTTGCAGTTTTTTTTTGCAAGGGCGATGTTGCCTACTGTCTCTGGCTGTGTGTGTAGAGTAATCCATGTAGACTCTGTGCCACAAAATGACTGACAAAACATTACAAAACCTGACCAGATAAATTCAAGTCATCAGTCTCAAGTCAAAGTCGAGTCTTGAGGCTCCAAGTCTCAAGTTATTTTATATCAAGTCGAGTCTCAAGTCATCAAATGTATGACTTGAGTCCACAACTCTGGTGATTACTTAACAATATCTTATGTGTGTGTCACAGGTGTGACTCATTTGCATGCAATCAGAAACAATCATTTCTATTGGATAATTGACTGGTCATGTGATTTGCGCTGAACGTATTTAAACCCCCTGTTTTTTAAATTTTTGTTTGGTGGCAGCCCACAGGAAGTGATGCAGTCCAGAGGCATGGGGGATCGGTCATATCGAGGCGGTCTTATACTGATTAATTGTGTTTCTGAAGAATAGAGGAAGATTGTGGTTGGCTTCAAAACAATCCATATAACATAAGTATTGTGTTTTGAACTTCGGAGCAGAGCGCCCTTTAAATGAGTTATTTCAGGGGTGAAAACAGACGTTAACATTAAATACCTGAAGAGAATTCCAGGGATAGTTGGTGCGCTAAAGTTAGAGCGGTCAATCAAATCTCCTATGCGGCGGCAATTTAAAAGCATTGAGGAAAATAGTGACTAGTGAAGATATGGTAGTGGATGCACCATATCCAGTAGTAAATGTTTGCTGCCAGTCAAAATATACCCTTTGTGTTAAAAAGGTAGATTCTGTGGCGTTCATTGCCACAGTTATGAACTGTATGGCTGAAGTGTCAAAGAAACTGGACATTATTGTGGCTGCGGCAGAAAAGTTATTTGGGACTTCAAGAGTTTACATCGAAAGACTTGCAAGGGGTACTGGCGCCAGAAGATGGCCCGCCCTCCCAGGCTCCCCTTGAGCCTGTGTAGGGATAAGATCTGTTTTTATTTTTAACAGAAAAGTAGTTTGATTTGGTGTAGTTTATTTAATTTGGTAGTTTGCATGGAATCCAGTTTCCATCCCACACAGTAGATGGCAGCATGCACACTAAATTGTGCAAACGGCAATATACCATAGAAGAGCACGTGGCAAATGGAGTTTGTGCTGTAATTGACTAAGTCTTAGAAATTAAGATGGACACCTGGCTGCTGGTCTGCGTCGCTTCCTGTGCCCCCTTTTAGTTTGGTTTGTATGTCTGATTTTTAAGTAGCGTGTTTTTTTATAGTAAAAGTAAGAAGTTATATTTATGGATAGAGTTTGGAAACAAAGGAATTTAACTGTATTGAGACTGTGCTGTATGCTGAAACTGAATCATGCCTTAAGAAAATAAATATTAAACTGTCTTTTGTTCTGCCTTTGCTGCCTGCTCAATCCCAGACCTAGAACCTCTCACTTTTCCACCCCATGACACATTCATTGATGTCAACTAGCTCATATGCTTGGAACTACCAATGTCTCTGGAACCTGGCAGACCAGAAGTCTTGAAGTGCTCCTGCGCTCCATAAAGAGTAATTGCAAACCCGCACTCCACGCACAACATTCGGATGAACATCTGCAAGTTGGACTGCATTGGCAGTTTGTTATGGTACACTGAGCACATATGATATGAACTCTTAACGGAAGACCAATAATCGTATGGCCCTATAATCTAAACAATGGAAGATTACAAACTGTAGTACAGCATACACACACCTGATTAAAATAATCAAGGGCAAGATTGAATAATATCATATACCGTTATAGAGGCTTGAGGCTATGGTGAAATCTAAATTATATTAAGAGGAACAACCTCGTATGGCAAATACAGTCGATGCCTAAGGGGAAACTAAGTGTGCCCATTGAACAACACAGGGTTTTCACTTTCATATAACTGGGGTATCTTTTTGTTTGGTTCGTGACAGGAAACTACAAAAACCCACTGCTTGTCAGTGGAAGAGGAAACCACAGTACAGCTTCAAAGAGCTTTCTTTTTGTCTTGAACAAGTCACAGTTGAATAACATTCCAACTCCTGTTCAAGTCCTTTCACACATTTTCAGTCTCTGCTACATGTGAAAAAGGCAAAAATAATTTATCATAATTTACTATTGCAAAAAATGTACACTTGTCACTTTCATGTCTTAAATTCCCTTTCACTACAGAGGAAATGGTATTGACAGATGTCTGTTCTACCAACTAGAACAGGGTGAGGTAAAAACAGGTTGAAGATACTAATCAAGATACATTTTCTTTGTCAGGAAATATGTTGCGCTGTCTGAAACAGGAAACTGTATTACTTTCCTCCTCCCACCACCATGAAACACAGTGTCTCATCAACAAGAGACATCGAAGACATGGATGCCTGTTCATAAAGAAGACACCTTTCTGCCCATCATATTTTGAGGTAATGGCTGTACATAGGCTGCTTTGTGGATGTAGTGGTGAAGACTGAACTTCAATTGATGTCTTTTACTGCTTATTATTGTCAAGCTGACACTAGGTAGTGTCAAGACAACACTGATTAAGTGCTTGAGTCCAGTTCAAATGTTAATCTTTGGATGTTAAGACTCAAAACTGTGTTGAAATGTTAGGTTTGTTCAAATGAGAGTGTTGCTCTCCACATGGTATGTTTTTCACTATTGTATATATTGTCAGTTTTCTGATCCAAAAATCTTCGACCTGGTCTTGTTGAAATAGATTCAACAAAATGTATTGTGTAGATTCCCATGGGTTAGTTCCTCTGTTTTGGAAACCCCTAGTTCTTAATAACATTTCATTTCCCCTTGTGGCTTCAGTGGCGAGCTTGTTGACGTCATCCTCTTCTTGTAAAATCTAGGACGTCACTATCCTTCCTCTTCCCTCAATTTACTTGCAGTTTCTCAGGTAATTTGTGTCTCAGGAGTGGTTCTACCAATGGATCTCACTGAGGAGGAGACAGCACCTCTAGTGGACAGGGAGAGGGGGGGCAGCCAAAGGTCCGGTTCTGGCTCTGGTTTACAAGTCCATCTCTACTTCCTCCCTGCCACAAAGGCGGGAACAACGTTCAACATATCCTCTGGCCAAATCTCTGCTGAAAGGGTCTGTGTCCTGGCAGCAAAAAAATGTGGTAAGATATGTGTTTTTATATGAATATGGTTGTAATTTTTGTATTTAACCCTGTTGAAGAGCATATGCTGTAACCGTGTGAGGAATAATTGTAATATGGTGTGAAATAGACATCCTTACGCTGTTTACCAAAAAAGTGGCGAGTTGATTGCTTTGTTGTTGTTTAAATCCCAAATTGCCCCTTTAAGGGAGGAATTTTGGAAATGTCCTAGACTACGCCACCTTTTGAGTGTGCATACCCATTTCTTCTGGAATTACAAAATATGTATTGGAGCCTTGTGTATCCTCCTTCAGGACCTTGCTGTCTCCAAGCCTTCTATTTATTGAGAATGCAGTCACGTATTAGCTTGGATGTTCAAACCTGCAAAAAACATTTCTTACAATAACGTTTCTCTCTCCTTAGGAATCCTACCAGTGTACCACAGCCTATTTGCTTTGGCGTTTGATGATCTCTCCTACTTTTACCCCCCAACACATGTTTTCAACACTGATGAAAGCATTAGCATTCACTACAGAGTCAGGTGAGAAAAAACGTTATGTAAAAAAGAAACATTTGACTAGAAATACATTTTATGCCTCATATTAACTATTATGTTGCACTTTATTTGGTCTTAGTCTGTCATGTGTAGTGCACCACAATAATGTTTCCTCATACAAAGGGATTTTATTAGCTGTGAATGTGAACTGGATGACTTATGTATTAAATTGTACTTTTTTTATTTCCCGTGGTTACAAAGGTTTTTCTTTGCCAACTGGTTTGGAGAGGGGTCAAAAACATCATACCGCTACTGTCTGAGAAGAGGCAGAATCAGTGCAGTGCTCGACTACTGTGTCATTGATTATCTCTTTGCCCAGGTACATAGAAAACACTTCCAACCTTTGCAGTAAGCCAAAACTCACATTTAGATATGCACTATTTGGATGTTAACATATGGCAATAGATCATGTGAAATTACATTCTCACACAATTGTGGTGCGATAAAGGCTATTTGTGGTGAATGATTCGCTTTTAATGGTATTTCTAGAATTTCCACAAGGGCATGTACATGTAAGTGTTCTACTAAATTACTTCCTGTGTTCTGTGTATAGTCTTCATTTTTTGTGACCTGTAGTCCCGCAGTGACTTTGTGGCTGGCCAGGCGGGGGTCTCACCTCCCTTGAGCGTCCAGGAGGAGTGTCTTGGCCTGGCAGTGCTCGACCTATGGCGACTGGCTAAGGAACACAACCAGAGCGTCAGGGAGGTGTGCAAGACAGTCAGGTATGAATACTATAAAGAGGGTATGAAAATGAGTACATTTCTTTATGTCAACGGGTCTCTTGGTTTCTTATTTGGCTGTGCAGAATAGATCCATTTCCTGTTTTTTCAGTTACAAGTCATGCCTTCCCGAGACGCATCGGCAGGACATCCAGCAACTGAGCCGGCTTGCGCGTTACAGAATCCGCAACACTCTGAAACAGTTCCTGAAGAAGCTGGGCCGCTGCTCGGTGGGGGAACGCAGTCTGAAGCTGAAGTACCTGATGGAGCTGGCAGGGGTGGAGCCTTCCCATGGCACTGAGACCTTTCAGGTGAACCACCCCGGCTCCCAGCTGCAGCAGAAGGAACCGACGTTCAGCCTTATGCGGGTCGCCGGGGAGAGTGGCATACAAATCAGTGGAAGTTATTGCCCTGCCGAAGTCCTGGTGAGACAAAGTGCAAAGTCCCTACTGTGGGTCATGATCATGATTATCATGCTGTATCTACATTGACTGAACACAAAACATAAATAATGTTCCCTTTCAGTCAGTCACTCGATATAGCATACTATGGGGAGTCAATGACCAATCCTATTCCCCTTGAAGCAAACTTCAATCACGCCCAACTGGCCAATGGATGCTGAGCCCGCCCTCAGAAGCACTGCCTTCTTGGCTATAATAGCGGGGCTCACATCCATTTCCTCAATTCTTCAGTTCACCTGAATAAAGAACGTGTCACACAATTTACAAACTTTTCAAGCACACAAACGCTATGAGATTCGGATCCGGCATAAGTGTCTATTAGTGGGCAGAGAGTACTCGTCCCCCTAGATGTTGCAAGTTTTGGGTCTTGGTATCGGTTTTTGTGTTTGGGAAAAGCAAACTACTTTCTACTCTGCTTGTGTAGCTAATGCTTCTTTGCTTGGGAAGGATTTGTGTTAGCTAAAACCACACTACTTTCTGCTCTGCTTGTGTAGCATGTGCTTCCTTACTTGAGTAAGATGGCCAGTGGTAAGAGTAAGTTCAAAAAGGCTAACCAGCCGAGTTTGAACCTCCGACCTTAACCTAGGACATGTGGTTTCACAATGAAACATGTAAGATACTCTCAAGTGCTTTCCTGTTGCCTGGGGTGGAAACACGTGTAGTGTCGAGTCAATGTTGCTAATTATTGCTGTTAAACAAAGGAGTCCGCTAATACTGAACTTTGATCATAAGTTTTATTCATATTACAAGATTTCAGCATAAGTGTACAGATGTATATAGCATCCGGAGAGCAGTGTTTCCCAAATTGCAATGGCCGCTCTGCTCTTCTTTGTCTCCATCCAGTACTTATAATATTCCCCAAAATATGGGTGGCTCCCTCTACTGTCCAATCCCCTGTCTTCTATGGGGCATCACCCTAAAAACAATTCCCTCTGACACTAAATAAACATCCTCTCAGGTTCCACTTGAAAACATTAGCAAACTCATAATTCTTCATATACTACAAACGCTCAGGAGGCCTTGGCTCGGACCAGTTTGTGTGACCATTGTCTCCGGCTGGGTTCAACTTCCATTGGGAGTCAGGGTGACTTTGTGAGAAAGATCAGTGGTCGGAGTTGATAGGGGTGTCATCCCAGCCGAGTGAGGCTCATTCCGTTTTTCCGGCAGTGTTCAAAGTCTGGATTCCGGAGATTATATACTATCCCTGGTTGGCTCTGGATGATTTTCAGTGTGTGAATCTGATGACATCTGTCCGGGGCAGCCTGAAGCCCCGGCTTTGGATTCGGCAGGTGGAGAATGAACCATTGGTGGTGAATGTGCTTTTGATGGCGTTTTGTCCCCCACAGCGGAGCTCCTCCAGGTTTGGGGGAAGGTATTTACTTCCTGTCCCGACAGAGGTGAAACATCACTTACCCCTGTTTAAAGATTTTGCCGATGAGTGGAGAGTTACTTAGCTCCAGAGGCTAACAAGGGGGCTAATCATAGCACGGTGCTTCCGAATAAACAGCGCCAGTTCTAGGGATTCCTGAGAGGGACAGGCGGATCTATATGGATCAGTGGCGATTTTAGCATGTAAATATTGGTGGGGCAAACTCAACAACCCAAAAAATCGATGCATGCCAGCAAAGCCACTACACAACACAACACTAAACAATACATTAATTGGACTATAACGGTGACAAACGGTGCCGACAAACTGTTAGGGCCTACATATAGCTGTCCCAACAGCAGAGTCCCAATAGCAGTCCCAGCACCTTACCACCGCTACATATAGCTATCAGCGGAGCCATGTCTGGCAGCGAAACAGTTCATTCAGCCACATTTACTGCCTTTAAAAAAAACATAGCTGATATGGCTGACTTGCTTAAACAAATGTGGTTTCTACTGACAATTGAGATGTACAAACTAGGGGACGACGAGTGGATAAGAGGCAATTCGTAATTTCGATTAAGACATTCATGATCGAGCTAGGACGGACATAGTCAATATAACTATTGTTCAGCACTTTTGAAATGTACAGCGACAGAATTCAGAACATGGGCCGTTCTTACAGTATTCTCCCTGTACACCAAGTCAGAACCGTAGGATAAATTACATTACATTACATTTTTGTCATTTAGCAGACGCTCTTATCCAGAGCGACTTACAAATTGGTGCATTCACCTTATGATAGCCAGTGGGACAACCACTTTACAATAATTATTTTATTTTTCTTTGGGGTGGGGTAAGGGGGGGTAGAAGGATTACTTTATCCTATCCCAGGTATTCCTTAAAGAGGTGGGGTTTCAAGTGTCTCCGGAAGGTGGTGAGTGACTCCGCTGTCCTGGCGTCGTGAGGGAGCTTGTTCCACCATTGGGGTGCCAGAGCAGCGAACAGTTTTGACTGGGCTGAGCGAGAACTGTGCTTCCGCAGAGGTAGGGGGGCCAGCAGGCCAGAGGAGGATGAACGCAATGCCCTCGTTTGGGTGTAGGGACTGATCAGAGCCTGAAGGTACGGAGGTGCCGTTCCCCTCACAGCTCCGTAGGCAAGCACCATGGTCTTGTAGCAAATGCGAGCTTCAACTGGAAGCCAGTGGAGTGTGCGGAGGAGCGGGGTGACGTGAGAGAACTTGGGAAGGTTGAAGACCAGACGGGCTGCGGCATTCTGGATGAGTTGTAGGGGTTTAATGGCACAGGCAGGGAGCCCAGCCAACAGCGAGTTGCAGTAATCCAGACGGGAGATGACAAGTGCCTGGATTAGGACCTGTACCGCTTCCTGTGTAAGGCAGGGTCGTACTCTACGAATGTTGTAGAGCATGAACCTACAGGATCGGGTCACCGCCTTGATGTTAGCGGAGAACGACAGGGTGTTGTCCAGGGTCACGCCAAGGCTCTTTGCACTCTGGGAGGAGGACACAACGGAGTTGTCAACCGTGATGGCGAGATCATGGAACGGGCAGTCCTTCCCCGGGAGGAAGAGCAGCTCCGTCTTGCCGAGGTTCAGCTTAAGGTTGTGATCCGTCATCCACATTGATATGTCTGCCAGACATGTAGAGATGCGATTCGCCACCTGGTTATCAGAAGGGGGAAAGGAGAAAATTAATTGTGTGTCGTCTGCGTAGCAATGATAGGAGAGGCCATGTGAGGATATGACAGAGCCAAGTGACTTGGTGTATAGCGAGAATAGGAGAGGGCCTAGAACTGAGCCCTGGGGGACACCAGTGGTGAGAGCACGTGGTGCGGAGACAGATTCTCGCCACGCCACCTGGTAGGAGCGACCTGTCAGGTAGGACGCAATCCAAGAGTGAGCCGCGCCGGAGATGCCCAACTCGGAGAGGGTGGAGAGGAGGATCTGATGGTTCACAGTATCAAAGGCAGCAGATAGGTCTAGAAGGACGGGAGCAGAGGAGAGAGAGTTAGCTTTAGCAGTGTGGAGAGCCTCCGTGACACAGAGAAGAGCAGTCTCAGTTGAATTACCAGTCTTGAAACCTGACTGGTTTTGATCAAGAAGGTCATTCTGAGAGAGATAGCAAGAGAGTTGGCTAAAGACGGCACGCTCAAGAGTTTTGGAGAGAAAAGAAAGAAGGGATACTGGTCTGTAGTTGGAGGGATCGAGTGTAGGTTTTTTGAGAAGGGGTGCAACTCTCGCTCTCTTGAAGACGGAAGGGGACATATAAAAGTGGACATATAAGCAGACAATGAAAGCTCTTACAATATTCGATGATGACATTTCTCTAAAACAGGCTATAGGCTACATGTGCAACACAAAGTCAGAACAGTAGGCTAAATTATGAGGGGAAATTATTAGGGTGAGGCTCATGGGCTACCACAACAGCTTACTACACAACATACACATACTATTACTTTCTTAGCTACAGTATACATACAGTGGGGGAAAAAAGTATTTAGTCAGCCACCAATTGTGCATGTTCTCCCACTTAAAAAGATGAGAGAGGCCTGTACTTTTCATCATAGGTACACGTCAACTATAACAGACAAATTGAGAAAATAAATTGTAGGATTTTTAATGAATTGATTTGCAAATTATGGTGGAAAATAAATATTTGGTCAATAACAAAAGTTTCTCAATACTTTGTTATATACCCTTTGTTGGCAATGACACAGGTCAAACGTTTTCTGTAAGTCTTCACAAGGTATTCACACACTGTTGCTGCTATTTTGGCCCATTCCTCCATGCAGATCTCCTCTAGAGCAGTGATGTTTTGGGGCTGTCGCTGGGCAACACGGACTTTCAGCTCCCTCCAAAGATATTCTATGGGGTTGAGATCTGGAGACTGCCTAGGCCACTCCAGGACCTTGAAATGCTTCTTATGAAGCCACTCCTTCGTTGCCCGGCGGTTTGTTTGGGATCATTGTCATGCTGAAAGACCCAGCCACGTTTCATCTTCAATGCCCTTGCTGATGGAAGGAGGTTTTCACTCAAAATCTCACGATACATGGCCCCATTCATTCTTTCCTTTACACGGATCAGTCGACCTGGTCCCTTTGCAGAAAAACAGCCCCAAAGCATGATGTTTCCACCCCCATGCTTCACAGTAGGTATGGTGTTCTTTGGATGCAACTCAGCATTCTTTGTCCTCCAAACACGACGAGTTGAGTTTTTACCAAAAAGTTCTATTTTGGATTCATCTGACCATTTGACATTCTCCTAATCCTCTTCTGGATCATCCAAATGCACTCTAGCAAACTTCAGACGGGCCTGGCTTAAGCAGGGGGACACGTCTGGCACTGCAGGATTTGAGTCCCTGGCGGCGTAGTGTGTTACTGATGGTAGGCTTTGTTACTTTGGTCCCAGCTCTCTGCAGGTCATTCACTAGGTCCCCCTGTGTGGTTCTGGGATTTTTGCTCACCGTTCTTGTGATCATTTTGACCCCACGGGGTGAGATCTTGCGTGGAGCCCCAGATCGAGGGAGATTATCAGTGGCCTTGTATGTCTTCCGTTTCCTAATAATTGCTCCCACAGTT